CCATATCTATACGTTGGCCGAATTGGCGCGAAGAGTTAACGTAAGTGGTTGAATATTCGACCAGTGAGCATTGGTGACACTGAGTTCCCTATGCAAATAAAAATAGCGCGTAATAAAAATTTAAAAATATAGGAACAAATGTATCTGTTACGTTTATTTCTTTTTATTTATTGCACCAAATTTACGGCTCGGATGATATTTTCAAAAATCGTTAACATACCCTGTATATTTTCGATGATTTATCAATTTGATTTACTTTATATGGGGTAATATGGGCATATTTTTGAGTAGAGAGCAGATAGCAACAGATAATCAAAATGAACTTACTCTTTTTTCTTACATTTCTTACATTGGATGATGCATACAGTTTATACATTAGATCATTTTTTTTAACATTTTTCTTTAACAGTCTCATTAACATCATTTTTCTTTAACAGTCTCTGGTTGAAAAATCGACCACCACCACCCCCCCTTGTTAACTTTTGAAAAATGTTATTAAGAAGATATGCTCTCTTTGTGCTAGTTTATATATTTTTGAAGTAAGTTTGACCAAACTAGAAAATAATTAGTACTGCCCTATAAATGGTTAAAAGTTACATTATATAATGTCTCGATAAGCGTATTTTGGTTGCTTTGATTTCAACCTTTTTGTTTGTTTTGATTTCGTTTTCCTCTGTTTAAAATATGAAAGTTGCTGTCTACTTCCGGTATCTCCGGAAGTCCCGCCGCGCCGTATTGAAAATATTTTAGATCGATAGATCTCGTTTTGCAACACTAAATGTTCAAAAAATTCTCCGATCTAGATATTGCACTTCTCTAGAAACTCCTAATGCACGCTCAGCCTGGGACACCCTGTATGATATAAAAAAGAATGGCTTAAAAATGGCAATAAATCAGATTTATTTATAGAACATTAAGCTACAATTCAAGCAAGAGTAGGGTTCAAGCAAGAGAAAATTGATGATAAACCGGATGTTTATTATACCGGGTGTTTCTCAAAAGTGGTTCACTCCTATAACATTCTTTAATTTAGCAGTTAAAAAACGATTTGGTATGTTAGTATATGACATAAATTAAGATTTATTTATTTATTCAATTGTTGTCGGTCATTTCGTGTTTCTGGATATGACTACAACTTCTGATTTTTAAATAACACTAACAAAATGACATTCTGAATAGAATGATCTATCATATGTCAACTTTTGACATTTTCAATTAAAAAATAGCATTTAAATTTCAATTTAGAGTGGCATGGCCATAAATGTAACGACAGTTTGACTCGAAATACCAAGTGTGTGTACAAATTTATTCGTAAAAAAATGCTTTTTCTAAATATGTTAATAAGCCACCCTCATTCTATTCGAAAAAAATGAATTATAATTAAAAATAAGATTTGGGCAACTTTCAACAGACAACGAAAATACACAAAAAAAATATTAGACGATCAAATAATGTATTTTTCCAAGGCTCCTTGATTAAAAATTAGTGTTTTTAACACAGCCATAGCCATTGGTGTAACAGAAAGTGGCAGAAAACAACTGAATATGTCCAATCAATTCCTATTTATATCATATACTGACGTACCAAATCTCATTTTTTATTGGGGCCCCTTTTAAGAAACATCCGGTAGAATAAAAAATAATATTTTACAATTAAAATATTTATTAAGTATACAGGGTGGCGCACCTCATTCGCCTCGGTTGATTATACGAAAACGGAAATATGTAGAAAGAAAATTTTTTATGGGTATATGTAGAGAGGCAATGTGCATAATTTAAAATTATTTTCAAATGTACAGGGTGTGTCAGAACTAAGATCCATACCAAAGTTATATATTTTTTCTTATGGAACACCCGGTATTTTATTTTATTTTTGGATTCTTGGACATAAAATAAGGCATATATTATAAGGGTTTAATATGTTTAAATGCTTTGGTTTTTGAGATATTTAAAGATATTTAAATATGCATGCTATAGTAAAAAAGTTTGTGAACACCCTGTACATTATTTTTTAGGATTAATTCTTGTGCTGACTTTGAAGCCACAGAAATAAATTTTATTAAAAAAATTGATTGCTTCCTTAAATGTGTACAGGGGTATCAAAAATTGCTGGTCTATTTTAAATATATATTTTACATAAAAACTTCGTTATTTCAAATGCAACACTATGTATTTTTTTAAATAAATCGAAGCAGATTTAAATGCTCTTTCAATCTATATTAAAATTTCCTATACCTATCTGGCTCAGATTTTGAATAAAAAGCGATTTTTTAATAAAATTGTAATCAAGATGGCTGGTGTGACCATGGCAACTTTCTAGTGACACTTAGTAGCTATTTTCGAAGTCGACATTAGTTTATGGACTTTATTTAAATTTATAACAGGTTATTTTTATTTAATTTACTTACAATAAGGTTAATAAGTAAGTATTTATTATTTTATTAAGAAAAATGAAGCAGTATCTGCTGGCGGAAGGAATAGATTTGTTACTAGTGATTTTATTTTGTGAGAACAATTGCTTGTTGGCTGCTGAAGGGTTTATGCTCAAAGATATCCAAATAGAATTTTTTTTTTTTTGCTTTTCTTATATTTCGCAGAGCTGATAGTGTGGTATATGAAAAACCTATTAGGCAGAAACCTATCGTTGGAAGTGAAGAAAATGAATTGGCCTTAATTGGTTCTGTTATAGCAAATCCAATTTATCTACAAGTCATCGTAATATACATCAAAAAGACCTACTTCTTTAGTTTTCTTGATAAAATTATAAATACTTACTTTAAACTGTTGTAGGTAAGTTAAATAAAAGTAAACTGTTATAAATTTAAATAAAGTCCATAAACTATTGTCGATTTTGAAAATAGCTACTAACTGTCACTAGCAAATTGCCATGGCGACACCAGCCATCTTGATTGCCATTTTATTGAAAAATCGCATTTTATTCAAAATCTGATCCAGATAGGTATAGGAAACCCTAATATAGTTTGAAAGTGCATTTAAATCTGCTTCGATTTATTTAAAAAAATACATAGTGTTGTATTTGAAATAACGAAGTTTTTATGTAAAATAAATATTTAAAATAGACCAGCAATTTTTGATACGCCTGTATACATTTAAGGAAGCAATCAATTTTTTTAATAAAGTTTATTTCTCTGGCTTCAAAGTCAGCACAAGAATTAAATCTGAAAAGTAATGTACAGGGTGTTTGGTTTGGTTTGGTTTTTTTTATTATAGCATGCATATTTAAATATCTATAAACATCTCAAAAACCAAAGCATTTAAACATATTTAACCCTTATAATAAATGCCTTATTTTATGTCCAAGAATCCAAAAATTAAATAAAATACCGGGTGTTCCATAAGAAAAAATATAACTTTGATATGGATCTTAGTTCTGACACACCCTGTACATTTGAAAATAATTTTAAATTATGCACATTGCCTCTCTACATATACCCACAAAAATTTTTGTTTCTACATCTTTCCGTTTTTGTATAATCAACCGAGGCGAATGAGGTGCGCCACCCTGTATAGTTATTTGCATATAAATAATTTTAATATGGGAAATTATATAATATATATTTATAATTTATATACAGGGTGGTCCATTAGTGTGAACAAGCCGAATATCATCGTTGTTAACAAATAACGACGAAAGTTTAAAAAGGGGCATATCTATTCTAAAAATAGTTTGTTGTATAATGGTATCCCAACAAGAGTAATAATAAAGTTGTAAGTTTTTAACAACCCCCATTTTTATTTTTATTTATTCTGTTATCCTTGGTATTTAGGAAAATACAGGGTGAGTCTTAAATAAGTGCAAATATTTTTAGGGATGATATCTTTTGACCCCTGGACCCTATGAGCTTTTTTCGCAAAAAAAGAGATGTTGAAAATAGTGCATTTCTTTTTAAATTTTTCCGTATATTGTAGAAAACTCTTTAGAAATGCCTGTTTACCGCAAATTTTCCCACGGTATATTTTCTTAATCTCTGATATTACCATGGTCAAGGCACTAAAAGGGATGTAACTACAAAAAAAAATCGGTGGCTCTCAAATTTTTTAAAAATAAATCATTTTTTTTTAATTTTCAAACTTGAATAACTCGTTTATTTTACTTACTTATTTGAAAAACGGTAAAGAGAAAATCTGTTTCTTTAATCGAAATCTACCAGCCCTAAAATAATTTGCACTTATTTAAGACCCCCTCCTCCCCCCCCCCCCGGGGGGGATAAGTATTAATAAGTTAAATTCACTTTGGATTTTTACTACTTTTCAGATATACTGTTTTAACCAAATTTTTAGTAAATAAGACGTAGCATGGCAACACGGCATATTCCTTTGAATATAGCTAGTATACTATATGCAGCAGAATTTTATGCTGAATTCAATTCCGTACAAAATAGGAATCACAATTTTAAAAAAAAAACTCTTACCACTTTATCATTATTTTTTTGGGACACCCTGTATACAACGAAGTAATATTACTATATGCATATTTATAAACCATGCAACATTTATATTAAACTTTTTTTCGTATATTTGCCAACAACGACGATATAGGACTTCCTCGCGCTAATGGGCTACCTAGTACTACCCGGTTACTTTATTAATAGGTTAAATTTTATTTTTGAGAACGAATCGAATATTTAAACAAGACAGACCCTAAAACGAAAGTAAACTTATGTCGATTTCACGCACGCAACTTTCCTCAAATAAAGAACAATAAAAAAAAAAGAAAGAAATACGGTACGGGTTGTCGTAGTCGAAAATGTGGTAGTTCGGTATGCAAAGTCCGCCTTCGTATCCAGCTTTCACCGAAAAATTTTCGTGTACTGCCAGTACAGCCTCCTCCAACGAGCTTCCACCACAGAACGCCATTGTTTCAGGTCCGCCGGCGGAATAGTACTTTACTTTCACATTTTTATGACTCACTGGCGTACGGTACTTTATATTATCGGCAGATTTAAACCTTTTTAAGGCGAAAACAAATAACACACCAAGTCGTATTTTCAGGCTTTTATTAAATAAAACAAGGACAAAGGTTTTTAAGTAGAAAAAAGAACAACTAAATAAAAAATCTATCTCTTTGGAAATATATTAACATTTCTTTACAAGAACTCTTTCTCTCTCACTCTCGCTTTTATACACGTATCTACACTTACACTCTAGATAAACAAAAAAAGAAAAATGAAACTTAATTTACAAAAAAAAATTAGAAGATGTCGCGCGAATAAAATCTGTCTTAAAAAATACGAATTAAAATTATTTAACTTACTAAACATTAACGAACAAAAAGGTACCTCGAATTGCATCTGGAAGATATAAAATATAAAAATATACATATATTAATCTAGTTTTGCGTATTTTTGAAATACAATTTACAAATCACATTACTTTGAACGGAATCTAATGTAATTTTAATACCCGTCAGCAAGATGGAGAAATGATTTCCTTGGACATCAGCCACTCTATTTTTAATCATATCTACAATACAGGGTGGCTCATTCCTAAAGTAATCAAAGAAAATCGCATTACAAATAATCCCACATGATGGATTATAGATTTCAATAATTATTGTATTTATTATGCGGAAACAGAAAACTAAAATTTGAAACCCATGATAATGCAACTCAACAGGATTATCAGGGTGAGTCCTAAATAAGTGCAAATATTTTCATGGCTGGTAGATCTCGATAAAAGAAACATATGTTCTCTTTACCCTTTTTCAAATAAGTCCAAAATAATCGATATTTTGCTTTGAAAATTTCCTAAAATAAATGATTTTTTTGCTGAAATTTTGAGAACTATTGGACCTTTTCTAGGTTTTCGTTCTTGTAAATTTAATCTACGACCTATGTTGCCATATCATAAAGTAATTATGTTTTTAAACTAATAAAAACGGCGAAAAAACTCATAATTGTGTTTCTGGGGCGAAATATACGCCTAAAATTATTTGCACTTGTTTAACACTCACCCTGTATAATTCGGTGATGCCAACATGGTTTACCAGAATACCACGGAAAAGATAAAGATAGTCTTAGTTATTTTGGTTAGAGCATGTAAGCTGAAGCATAAAACTCATTTGAAAATATTCAAAATGAAGTTATTAGATGAATAATTGTTTTGTGGCAAATAATAGTATAGGAGAGATAGATGACATAAAAACAGAAAAAAATGCTTGTTGCTGATTGTAATTCAGAGAGTGTATTTTGTATAGAACTCAATTTTTTTAAATAATTAAAAAATATTTATGGATTTGTTTATTTAAATATTTCAAAAATATATCTAAAATAGAACCGAATATCATTAATAATTAAAAAATAGAATAATACCCACAAAAAGATTTTATGTTTGTTTTTTCAACAGAGAGCCTAAAAATGCTGTATATTAAAATTACATAGATTTTCTGTGATCGTCCATTAGGAAGATAACCACCCAGTATATATTTTATTCGATGTCTTTAGTACAAACAAAAATTAAACAAAAAAAAATAATAAGTAGAAAAGTGGTGGTTGTTGCGAGAAATCAGTCTCTTGACACAATAAATTAATTTAAACAAAAACATTAAAAAAACACATCTTGGTTTTTTGGAGATCCAGCACTAAACTATTAACCAAGATCAACTCGATCTTGTTCAACAAGTGTTCTATTATTGTCGTAACGGAGATTTTATTTGCTCGTAGCGGCCAGCCAGGGTACTACTACACAGGTTGTCCCAATATCCCTGGTCCAATGGAATACATATCTATTTATTTGCAATCACTTACAAAGATTGAATTTTGCAAAGCAGCAAATATACATAAAAATCTTAAATTATAGTGGTTAATACCAGTCTGGTTCCACCTCTAGTTTAACCAGAGGTGACTTTACCTTTCATTTTTAACCGACACCCTGTATATTTTTGGAAATTTTTAAATTCACCTAAATTCTCTTTATAAAAATATATCACAGGTCTCTTTTGAATATTACCGCAGAATCGAATTTTTATTATACAGGGTGAATCTTAAATAAGTGCAAATATTTTCAGGGGTGGTAGATCTCGATAATGGAAACATATTTTCTCTTTGCCGTTTTTCAAATAAGTAAAAAATATCCGAGTTATTTGACTTAAAAATTTAGAAAAAAATGATTTTTACGTAAATTTTTAGAACCACTGTATTTTTTCCGGATTTTCTTTCTTATAAATTTATTTTATTACCTATGTTGCCATATTATCAAGATATTATATTTTTTAACTAAAAATTAAAAAAAAATCCAAAAATGTCTTCAAAAATTCCAAATTTTCATTTTTTTTCTCCTTCGAAATAATCCTCATAGGCGTGTTTCTGGGGTCGAAATATACTACCCCTAAAATATTTGCACTTATTTAAAACTCATCCTCTATATTTTTGTAAACAAAAGGATTATGAATATATAGGTAATATTTCATAAAAAATGGAAGTAAATTTTAAACAATTTATTATAATTTAGACGTTTTTAATGAAAATTAGTGACTTTAAACATGGAAAATTTTCATTTTACCAATTTGTTATTATGATAAATATTCCCTACATAATAATAGTATTTACAACATTACAAAAATATTAAAAAATCGATTCTGGTTTGATTCAAAATATTTCCACAAAATATATATGATGTCGTAAAAAACAAATCTCTTGAGTTTATTAAATTATTTTATGTATGATTGCTTTGCTGAAATACTGAAACTTCTAACGTCTGAGTGTAATTGAGATAAACCATTCAAACAGGGACACTGAGAGACCTGGCAACAATACGTATACAATACAACCACAATATGGACTAGATTGTTTTTCTTCATCGATACGCTCATCCCCTTACCCTTCGAGCAAATAGCAACCCTAATATTTTACAAAAAAATTAAAGCTCGTGACTGTTGCGTCTGTTTCACTATCCCTAACTGAAGTGACGACACTGCTATGGTCCGTAATCGTGCACTATATCCATCATCCGCTGCCGGTTGTCATCGGACCTGCACAACAAGAAAACAACAAAATTAGACACTGTCAGAAACCAATAATGGAGGGTTTCTTTTTAAGAGAGAAAAAAATGAAGTAAGTTCTTACATGTGTTGTTGTTGCTGCTGCTGCAACTGGAAGGTATCCAGGTGTTTGTTAATCTCCCTGTGGATGTGTTCGGGAAGCATCCCAACGTTCGAGAACAATCCCCTCAATACGTTCAATTCCTCCGTGAGAAGTTCTATCCTTTTCTGAAGTCTCTCGTTCTCCTTGATCAAAATCTTAACTTTTTCTTCTGTCTCCCTTGTTCGTACTTTAGCTTTCTCCCTGCTCTTCCTCACGGCAATGTTATTCCTCTCCCTCCTCCTCCTGTATTCGTCACTGTTCTTATCACAGGGTTTCACCGACTTTCTAGCAACATGCTGATTTAACAACGAAGCTTTCGACTTCATCGCGTTCATGTTGATCTGGTGATGGATCACTGGACTGGGCGTGAGGGTGGTGAAGGTAGCACCAGGATTTGGAGGGTAAGTCCCGGGCATGTAGTTGTTAGGTAGAAGATTACAGGCGGCCTGTCTACGATAGTCTTCCTGGGAGTCCATCGGTTCTTCTTTGATACTGGGAACGTCACTACCGACAGAGCTGTTGGAATCGCTATTCGAGTTTTGGTTTCCTGCATAAGTAGCTCCGCTATGGACGGGTTGGGGCATGTAAGCCAACGTCGTTCGGGGGTAGGTGTTATTTTGAACCCCCATCACTTGTCTGGAGTGGAGGTTTTGAAGGTGTTTCCCCTGTTGGTTTTGGAGGATGTCAAAGAGTCCGTCCCCGAACTGGGAGTCGTCGATTAGGTTTTGGAGATCCAAAGATATTTCCGGGGTGTTTAGATCGTTCATGTCTCCGTGTTGTTGGTATTGGGATAATTGGTGTTGTTTCAACAACGCGGCCGTTTGCTTAGAGTTGCCGTTGTTGTTGTTGAGCGTGGTTAAGTTATTATTGTTGTTATTATTATTGTTCATGATAACAGTCGTTTTTTTCGCCTCGGCCACGTTGATCACCCCGTTGTTTTGTCCGTGCTGTTGATTGTCGTACATTTGCGGCGAATCCATGTTTAGAGTCTGGCCGCGGCCCGACTTTCACTTAGGTCCACTTTCACTTTACCGAAAATTCAGTCCACGATTATAAAGCACTTATCGCGAGATAATCAAATTGTCTTTGTAAAAAAATCGTCCGAATTAATTATTGAACACTGATTAAATTTAAGAAACTGGCCGATATAAGTCCGATGCGAGCGAGAGCCGATGATCGGGTAGCAGGAGATGCGTTGCCTGGGTACCACACGTGCGTGCGCTTGCCCAAGTCGAGTGTGCACTAAACTGAGTGACCGAGCGATTCCTGCTGAGAGCGTTGTGTCGGTGGCAGGCCGTGCGCTGCAGTAATGCGCGTAGTGTGACGTGCGTTTTGAAAGTGAAACGGGCCGGCAGGGGTGGCGGGCTTTTAAGAAAATTTTGACGTAACGCGGTGCGATGCGCGACGTCGGAGATAGACGGGCGTCGCCGCCGTCCCGACGTAGATTAGTTTGGCGCTACCAGGACTTAAAACCGGGCGCGCTGCGAAGACGAGCTTTGCAGCTGCTTTTATTTTAAATCGATACTTTTCTTTCATCTTCGGTTTAGTTGAGAGTTGCGGTAGTGAAGGATTATTATTAATTTATTATTTTTCTGAAAATAATTAAAATATAAAAAAATATTTCCTCTACCGTGTGGTGCATCGGAACACGGGACATAGGAAATCCCATGTAAATTTTGAAGAGGTCAAATATTATCTCCCCAGATGATTTTATGCAAAAATTGTATTAAACTTTTTTGAAGAGGCGTTAAAGTTATACTTTATCTAAATAGTTTTATTTGGAATAGGCATCTAAAAGTTATTTGCAAAAATCTACCTTCAAATTACTAAAAATTTATAATACGGTCCAGAGAAAGCTACAACTGAAATACCAGCAAAAATATGATTTTGTCATTGTCAAATTCGATGTCACCTTTTTTTTGTTTACGAATTTATGTGTTTTAGAAAGGATGGTTATTTTTTTTCTGAATTGAAATGATAATCTACAAAAGAATTAGTTGAACTGTATTGGCGGAGTATGACTTAATTGCTGTTCTTTGCTCGATCACTCGCAGGCCTCGCTCATACCACATACATCCACAATACAAAGCTGTTAAGGAGAGAATCTTTAGCTTCCACAGAGATATCGTTTTCAGTTCATCTAAATTTCTGTATTTAATATGCCCATAAAGACGGTTTTTGAGTGTTCAGGAAGAAGCCGTTCCACAGGAAAAAGCCTTTCGGCGAAAGAGCTTGTGGTATTTTTCTACTGTAACCCCAATAGAAAGTGTGAGTAAACCCAATAAAAATAGTGCAAATATTTTCAGGGCTGGTAGATCTCGATAAAAGAAACATATTTTTTACCGCTTTTCAAATAAATCCAAAATAACCGAGTTATTCTACTTTTAGTCCAGTAAAATTGTATTGCCCTATAGAGAGTGAAAATAAGAAAAATTACTGAAATTGTGGAAGTTCAAAGAAAAGGACTGGCAACTCTTCTAAATGCAAGTGTGGGTAGGGGCAACAAAAACAAAAAAAAAATGAAAAAATAAAAATTATGAAACTACCCCAATTTATTCATGAACTGGACACTATCTCCGAAAATAATGAAACTACAAAAAAATCATGAGGAAAAGTTGCTTGTCCATTTATTATGAACAACTTTCATACGGGTCAATTTGCTGTAAAACAAACTTTTTGAAAACCACCCCAAAGGGCTCATGAAACGGCCGCTAAGTCCGGAAATAATAAACTTATAAAAAAAATCATTAGGCGAACTTACAATGTTCTTATGTACAATTTGCTCTAATTGTTTTGTTGTAGTACAGTTTTAAAAAAACCACCCCTATTGCTCAAAAACCGCAAGGGGAAAATTTCCGATTTTATTTATTTTACACATAGAAGACAGTCGCTGACAAACTCTGAGAAAATCAGCTTGCCCGTATTTTTTTTTCAAATGACAATTTTATTGAATTATTTAAATTTCGAAAAAAAATATTTCTTAAATTTTGAGAACCACTGAATTTTTTCTGGATTTTCTTTTTTATAATTTTAATCTGCTACCTATATTGCCTTATTATCAAGAAACTATATTTTTTAACTAAAAACTGAAAAAAGTCCCAAAAATTTTCCAAAAAATTCCAAATTTTGAAAATTTTTCTTTCGCGAAAAATACATCATAATCGTGTTTTTGTGGTTGAAAAATATTAAAATCTAAAAATATTTGCACTTATTTAAGACTCACCCTGTATATAACTACCTTTGTTTATGTTATTTCTTTTGTATCAATAAAACAAGTTACTTTCTTAATTATTAATTAATTTCGTTCCACACTAATGATAAGTACTACAGAGGAAGGTCGAAAAGTACTCATCTTTCAAATTTGTTATAAAAGTGGTTACCTACACCCTGCACCTGTGATTACCATGTCATCTACAAATATTTTCCTATGATTCATATACAGGGTTCGGCAATAGTGCGTCGGGCACCTGTAGCTCCTACAATAAAAAATTTGGGAATTTTGTTTAAATGCAAATCTAAAGTATGTACTAGCTGTGGTACTAGGATGAATTTCAAGACAATATTTTAATATCTATAGAAATAGGGTGGCTCAAAAAAGTGTGAGAGAATCGGGATGATTTTTTTAAATAAAAATTTTTCTTCGTTTTCTTCTAATATAATTTTCAATTCAGGACAGTTCTTGTATTTCTTACATTTTTTTAAGGAATGTTGAAAAATATAGTATAATTTTTTATTTATTAATATCTCTGAAACTATCAAATATATTTACTTATATCTTAGGATTATGTAAAGTGATCTGAAAGGAAGCCAAAAATTCAATAATATACAGAGTGTTCCATTTAAAAAAATTATCCCTATCCACTGACACTTTTTTGAGCCCCCCTATAAGTTAGAATTTAAAATTTAGAAGTTAAAATATTTTCCTGAAATACTTCCTCGTACATACCCCAGGTTTGCACTTTCAAACAAAATTCCCAAGTTTTTTATTGTAGGAGCTACAGATGCCCAACGCACTATTGCCGAATCCTGTAGAATGAAAAAATATGATTAGCATTTGCAGCTATCTTATTTCACATTTTAAGTACTACCGTTTTTTTTTTGTTTTTTTCAAATATCTTATCTATAGCTATATCAAGAGTTTAGTAATTATAATAGGCCCTTATTGGAACAGTTGTGGAGTTTTTTTTAAAGATGGTAATAATATTGGTACTTCTAACATCATTTACAAAGAATTCAGTTTAATAAAATGCTTTCACTTTTCTTGGCTACTTCTCCTCTTCACACTCAAATTCTCCTTTATAAATATAATAATGTAATTTTCCCGTTGTTTCCTCAAAGTAGGTTACTTGCTAACACCGATACTGTTATTTCGTTTGTAATCCATACTTTTTTCCATATATGCATATACATACTTTTTCAAAATTGAATCAGTGTCTATTAGATCAGTTTGAAGTATGTATGGATATTTTTCCCATGTCCCAAAAATAAATTACTTACCTAGATATTTAAAAAAAAATTGGCGCCGGAGGGCACGTATGCCCATACTAAAATATGTTAATAAAAAGTTGGTAGGCAGTTCTTTTAGTTCCAAAGTAAAGGAATTTTTCCGATTTTTTTTATCTCAAAAACTGCGAGTTTGACTGATTTTGATTTTATTACAAATTTTGTTGCAAATATTATTCCTAATCTTAAATTGAAAACCGCGTTTCGCTAATTACTGTAATTTTGGAGTTACGATTTTTTTAAAATTTTTAACCCCCTCCCATACCCCCTTACCAACCCCCCACCCCCACCAAAAACTAATGGCCAGATTCTCGGGTGCCACAGTATTTTTGTGCCAAATTTCGTTAAAATCGGTTTAGCGGTTTTTGAGTTATCATGTTGCAGACAGACGGACAGACAGACACCATGAAAATATTTTGTATTTAGGTCATTTATGACCCAGATTATAACCCATTTTGAGTGAAATTAAAAAAACGTTTTTTTTTTGTCGATCTTAATAGCCTACCATACCTGTTGGTATGGTCGGCTAATAAATATTCTAGATCTTTTTTAATTAACCCAAAATTAAATTTAATAAAAGGGTTAATTTCCTGTTGAAGAATTGTTGGAATACTTGATTTGACTTCGTTTGTTTCATATCTGGCTGACGCAAAATTAAAAAATGCATAGATATGGACACAATAGGTTGATTTTCAGGAAGGTATCTGGCATTTTTATGATTAGAACTCATTACGTATGTTCTAAATAACATTGCATTGATACAAAAAGAACTTGACAATGGTACGACGTATAACTAATGGTATTTTTTTTTCTAAAACCGATATAAATAATAAGGTATAACAAAAATCTGGAATATAAGTATTACAAAGAGTTAAAGTAGCAGAAAACATTCAGAGTTTAAATAAAATATTTTAAATAAAACCTTACATATATTGTAAAATAATCATAGAAAGTCTTCAAAAACGTAATATTTTTTTTCAAATACAGATATCATTTTATATACAACAGTAAAATATTATTTATATCAAATATAACTGTTACCATATTTTTTTAAAAATCCATTTAAATATAAAATATATAAAGTACTCAATAGGATTTTACAAATTTTATTATTTGGACTTTTGTGTTACCATCAAATTAATATATTTTTGAACTGTATACTGTATAAAAATATCCAATTTTACAGCCTGAAAATTTTATATAGAACTATTAAAAAAAGTTAAACGCTTTTTTTATGTATTTCATAAAAATGTTATTAATGTTGGTAATAAAATAAGAAAAAATATTGGATTCAATTATAAAAAAGTTGTTAAAATAGTCCCTACTTGCTATTATCTGGACAAGCTCCATACTTGAATTTAAAGTACAAAATCCCAGAATTTTCGATATTAAAAAGTTATTTAAATAAATGTATCAAAATTGCTTTCTTTTAAACTTAAAAATATAATTGGGTGGGTAAAACTAAATTATAATTTAGTTTAAAACGTAATTATAATTAATTATAAGGGTGGCTGCAATAACCAGGCAGATTTTTACTGATTTATCCTTTAAAAATAAGTCTATCGTACCCGGCAATAATAAATCAGATGTATCCATATAACAAAGTGGTATAGCAACGTTATTGGAGCTACCAGCGTACCAGCTACCTTGCTTTCGATTTGCAGCAAGAACCAGACAGCTCTTGGAGGTTGGAGGTGTCTGGTTTGGCTAGCAAATCTTGTTGCATGGTTATTGCAGCCACTCTTTCAATTACGCTAAATATGTTGACAGACTGAAAATCTTTAAATAGCAACACATCTCATATTAACACAAAATATATTAATGCAAATTCAGGGCTGGATAAAAA